GAGGCTATACGTTTTCTCATTCTATCAGCAAACAGGGACTTCGCTTATTTGAGGACAGGCTTGCATTCATTATGAGCAATGACAAAGAGACGTCTGTTACAATCAGACCTGTCGCTCTGGTTTAGCCGGAAGACGTTATACCTGTGGGCTATGAGCAGACAGGTGAAAATCGGGAAGATGATCGAGGTTACGCTTGTTATTTCCGTGCTAGAATGAAAGCTCCGATGCTGGCTTTCATCCAGAAAGAGAACTCGGTGGATCATTTCTGAATAGAATGATTAAAAACTTTATTCCAAAGAACATCGCAAAGGAAATCACGGAATGAGTCGTAATCAGCGCGTTGATAACAGAGAGATATTCTGTTAATAGGAATTTTGTGACTTTTTGGGGAGAGGAACGAGATGTCTACGGACACCGCCGCATGGTGGGTGTTGCCAAGAGGACTAGAGTATAGCATGAATCCGGAGTAGAGGTAAGGAATAGATCCAGTAGAGAAGTGTGACCGTCAGGATTACTGTGAAAACGCGTGAGGAAGTCTATTACTTGAGTGAGAGATTGTATCATGAAGAAGTTCAGGTTTGGATGCCAATGAGGTCAGTGACATTAGAGTAATTAAGCCACCTGACATGGTGGGTATTGAATTCGCCGAACGTAAAGATATTTTCGAACGGGTGTAAAGGGAGGGCTTTATCGATGCTATTAGAAATTCTATCTAGCATGCAATAGGCATGAGAAGGAGGGAAATGGTGGCGGAAGAAGAGATAACTGACTGAGTTTAGTAGAGAAAATTGGAGGCTCACGTAAGAACAGTTTGGAGACGCAAGAGAGAGAGAGAGAGACAGACAGACAGACAGAAAGTCCCCTTGCCAGTAAGAGATGTTCCCGAACACAGACAAGGACATGTGGACAATAGAGTCCTTCCGAAAGAGAGGAAGATAACCAGGAATCGAGAATTCAGTAGAAGATATTGAAGAATTCTGATTAGTTTCATAGAGAGCTTAGATGTCTGGAGAGTGTTCCAAGAATAATGATTCCACACTGCAGAAATTGGTAAGAATATCACGAATGTTGGCGAAAGAAAGATTGACGGGTTTCGGCGATTTATGTCGATCTGATTTAATTGTATTTTGTTTATTACTTTTAGTCATGATATGTTATTTAAAGGTAGAAAAGGCCAACAATAATGCCGGGAATTGTCGCAGAATGTAGCATAGTGTTGTGGCCTCAGGATTACCGACCGGAAGCGACTGCAATGAGACCTTTCCAAGCGCGACATGATATTGTGGGAACCCTGATATTATGCGACTGTTGATCGGAAATGTCTCTCTAGATGCTGCCCAAGAGTTTGGGCTCCTATCTATCATTTGGGATGCAGCAACCAGAAAACTGCTAACCTGGTAGCCTAGTCTGAAGAACCGTTGCTACCATCCACTCATATCACCAAAAATTCTTGACAGCCACTCTTATAAAGGCATCAGAAGAGGGGAACCGGAAACAGGAAACAAAAATAATCTTCTACTCCTGTCCAAAAGAAAGGGAAGGAGTAACATCCGGAAGATAGGTAGTCTTGTCTAATATTAAAAAAACAAAAACAAACACTGAAAATTGTCTGCTAAGATTTAACTTACTATACGGTGTATATTATTTTTAGTGAGGGGTAGACGTGTTTCAGTTGCTATCTGGTATCTTTTTTTTTTTTATTATTTTATTAAACAGTGGAATAAATAAAAACGAAGTCGTACGAAAAACACCTCTTAAGTCAAATCTGCCTCTCCCATTACAGCCACGGATCTGGACTGACGGGGCTGAAGTTAGAATTCTCAGTTATGGAAATAAGTTTTTTTTTATTTTTTTGGACGTTGTGTAATGCTTAGTAAGCTTGTCTCGCTAGATCAGTTACGACTGAATAGTGAGTTCGATCCTCACTGAGTGGCTCGTACTTTCGGCTTTGTACCACATCGAAACTACATTTAGTAAATCACTACATGTTTGAACGATCGTTTCCATTTCTTAAACAGAGAAATTAAGAAATAATTAAGTAAAAAAATATTTTTTAATTGCAACATCATCACTTGACAAGACAACTGAATTGTTGAAACACATTGGCTATTTTTGTAGTGATGTTATAACATACTTATGTTATAATTTTTAAATAAATATTATTCGATCTACTCTGTATTGAGCACTTTTTCTAAAAAAATAGTGTTTTTGGTTATCGGAAATTTATTCCATCTACACCAACCTTGTATTCGTGTATATATATATATATATATATATATATATATATATATATATATATATATATATATATATATATCGGCCAGTATATATATATATATGAAGAAATATAGTCTTGAGGTGTTCTATATTTATGGTGTAAAGTGCTCAATATCAGAGATAGAGCGTGTGTAAATATAAAAGTGAACATAGAAGTCAACACTTAGAAGTGACAGTCTGTTTCATGCTAGACGCAATCGTCAGGCCATATATATATATATATATATATATATATATATATATATATATATATATATATATATATATATACTGGCCGCTCGTATCCGAAAATGCTTGTCTGCTAATTCTTGTTGCAGACGTTTATAGTTCTGAACATTTTCGGCCTAACTAGAATAAATTTCCCCCAATTTTAAAGTTTGCTAATTTGTTCAGATTTTGGGAAAGTAGTGGAGGACTTTCAGTGTCTACTCTTAAAGATAATAAGTTTGTAGCTCAGTGGTTTATAAACAGCACTTATTTCGCAAAACAAATATTTTGTTTTCAACATATCCTTTACTGTCACTGCACTCGATCCAATGCTTTTTCATTAATCACGTGGATCGATCGATGTAAAAATTAAACAGGAAAATCTACATATCAAAATTGAACCCCAAAACTAAGCCAGGCAACGGACTTATTGATCCTCTTGTATATCTTTGTCTGTGTGATGTGCGTTTGCGTACATATTGCATGCGTATGTGTGTATTTGTATAGGTGCAGCCTATATGTACTGTATGTGTATGATACATTTACACACCTACATGTAATGATGTATTTATTTATATATGTATGTCGACTTGCACTTTTATGTATGTGTATATGTGTGCCTACACGCGTGTCCGTGTTATAGAGAGTGCGTATGTAATATATTTACACATATTTACGTGCCTTAAGCCGCACATGCGAATAATCCGTTACAACACACCACGTAAAATTATTGATTGTACTCAACTCTAACCATATACACACATACATACAGGCATATATAGACATATACATACACTTACACTTATACACACACACGTGTGCGTGTGTATGTATGTATGCATGCGTGTGTGTGTGTGTGTGTGTGTGTGTGTGTGTGTGTGTGTGTGTGTGTGTGTGTGTGTGTAATACAGAAATTAATTACATACGTCGGGGACTCATCACACGAGCATATTAATTAAAATTTCTGTCTTACCACACGCACGAGCGAGTCCGTTTTTATATCCACCCGTATCATTTAATAAGCACATAGTTGAATGCAGGAGTTATATATCTATATGTGTGTGTGTGTGTGTGTATGCGTGTATGTGTGTGTGTGTGTATGTATGGTTGTATGTGTGTGTGTGTGTGTATATGTGTGTGTGTATGTGTGTGTATGTATGTGTGTATCTCTGTGTGTGTATGTATGGGTGTATCTGTGTGTGTGTGTATGTGTGTGCGTGTGCGTGCGTGCGCGCGCGTGCGCATCTTTAGTTGCATACAAAAAAATTATAGGAATGAATGTTACAATAGTCCGACTCATACAATTTATTAATATTATTTTCGGTTGACAAACGCGCGTGCGTACACATACGTGTGTGCGCGTACACACACACACACATACACACACATATAGATATATAGAAATTAAATATTCGCAGAGTTCATACGCAAATTTAAGTCTCCTCTCTGCCTTCTTCTATACTCTTTATCTTTCCCTCTCTCTCTCACTCTTTTTTTTTATTTGTGTGTCTTTCTTACTTTATTGTTGTTTTTCCCCTTTCTTTTTTTCTTTTTTCGATTTTCCTTTTCTCCTAAACAAATCGTTACATTATCCAAGTTGATTCTCTCTTTCTCTCTCTCACTCTCTGCTTCACTCTCTACCCCGTAACTCTCTTTCTCTGACTGTGCTTTCTTACGCTTCCCCTCTCTTTCTCTCTCTCTCTCTCTGTCTCATTTATTCGCTCATTTTGCCTCCCCGTCTCTCTGTATTTCACAAATTTATTATCCTTTGACTTTTATATTCATTCTTTGACTAGTTTATCTCTCTCTCTCTCTTATTTCTCTCTCTTTCTCTCGTTTTTCTTTCCCTCTATCTCTTTCACCCTACTTCCCTCATTCACTATCACATCTCTTCCCTATCTCTCACTCACGCTCACTTCTCTCCCCCTCTCTCTACTCACACTTCTCCTTCCTCTCACTCTCTTTCTCACGACTTTCTTCACACTCAGTATCCCTTGTCTCTCATATTTCTCTCGCCTTCTCTCTCTTCATTTTTCTCTTCCTCTCTTTGCCTCTGTTTTTATCTTTTTCTGTCTCTCTCATCCCCATATATTTCTATCGCGATATTTCCCACTTTTCCTTCTTTTTATACTCTCCCTCTCTCTCCCCCTCTTTCTCCCCCCTCTCTCTCTCTCTCTCCCGATTACCATCTTTCTGCTTCTGATTATTTTAACGCCTCCCTTTATATATAGAAACAGACTTTACCACCCCTTCTTATTATCACGTCTCTACCCTCTCTCTCTCATCCGCATCTCTCTATTTTCATTCACTCACTCACTCACTCACTCACTCACTCACTCACTCACTCAATCAATCAGTCACTCACTCACTCACTCACTCACTCACTCAATCAATCAATCAGTCACTCACTCACTCACTAAATAACACTCTCTTCTTCGTCTTTTATTTTTTTCTCTATTTTCAACATTTCTTTTCATTCTTATTCGTCTCTGTATTAACTTGACTTCCTCATTCAGTAACTTCCCTTTCACTGTTTCACACTTTCTTTCTTTCTTTCTTTCTTTCTTTCTTTCTTTCTTTCTTTCTTTCTTTCTTTCTTTCTTTCTTTCCCTCCATTCATATCTCTCTACATATGTCAACACTGCATTTTCTTTCAATCATGAACACTTTCTTTTTTCCTTCTTTCCTTCTTTCCTTCTTTCCTTCCTTCCTTTCTTTCTTTCTTTCTTTCTTTCTTTCTTTCTTTCTTTCTTTCTTTCTTTCTTTCTTTCTTTCTTTGCACATTTTTATCCTTTTTAAACTTTTATCTCTCGTGTCCATGATCACCCTCTCCCTCTCTTTTTCTTTCTCTTTTTCTTTTTTTTTGGGGGGGGCAACTGTTTACCTTTTCTCTCTATTGTTCAAAATCGCTATCATTTTCTCTCTCTCTCTCTCTCTCTCCCTGTCTCTTTATTTTTACTCTTTCTCTCTCTCTCGGCATATATTGCCCCCCACTTATCTTTTCTAATTTTCTCGCTTCTTCCTAATCACTTTCTCTTTTTCTCTCTGTCATTCTTTCGCCTTTTCTTTCAGGTCGCCTTATCCTTTTTAACTTTTTCTCTATTTCTCTTCCCTCCCTCTCTCTTTTGTTTTCTCTCTTTTTCCTTCTCGCTGTCTTCTGCTCTCTTTCACTCTCTCTTTCGCTTTCTCTCTATTTCAGTCTCTCTTTCTTACTTTCCCTCTCTGTACATTTGACACTTTTTTACGTTTTCTTTCTCTGTCCTTTCTGTTTATTTTCTTTTATTTATTTCTTTTGCTCTTTAATATTTTTCTACCTTCACTCATTTCCCGACTAGCCGTTTTTTTTAATTTACTTTTTAATCGATTATACACCTTCTCCATATTGTAATCATAATCTATTTCTTTCTCGCCTATCTATCTTGAAGTCATTCTCCCCCTCTCAGTATTATCTATTATTATTTCATTCTCTCTCTTTCTCCATCCCTCTGCTTACTATTTTCTCTTTAATTTTCTATCCCTCTCTGTCTATTTCTTTCTCTCTCACTCTCTCTATACTGCTTTCCTTTACATCCTTCTTTGGCTCTCTGTCTTCTTCGGTATTATTCATTCGCCCATTCCCTCCCACACCCTGATTAACCCCTCCGTCTCTGCGCACAGTCTATTTTTGATTCATTCCACCTTTCTTTCGTTTATACCCCCTACCACGACCCGATTTTAATTTACTTCCATCTCTCCGTAGACCGTGTCTAACCCACCCCCTGAGGATTCATAGTCGATCGTCTACACATGCCCCCCTCTTTGTACAGCCTTTAAATCTATTTCCCCCTCTTTTTCTTCTCTTAAGCCTTCTTTTCTCCACCAACATTGTGTGTCTGTATGTATGTGCGACGACTCGTTTCAATTACTTAACGTCATTCTGCCTCACTCCATGTTGCTTCGTACGCAAACATCTTTCTACCCCACCCTCTCAATAGTCAGTATCTTTCTTCCACCACACCGTGCGTCGTTAATAGATCTTTACCTCTCCTTTCCTCCGTTTCGTCTAATTTTCCAGCATCACTCTCTTTTACCCCTCCCTAACAATTGTACCTCTCCTCTTCCTCCTCTCTTTCACCTGCCATTCCCTCTGTCTATTATGTCTCGCCCACTCCTTCAGTGCTACTAATCTATCTTTCGACCACCACTCTCTCATTGCATTATGCCTTTCTTTCTCCGTCTCCCTGTGACAAACAGGCTTTCTTCACTGAATTCTCTGGTAGAGCCTCCATCTTTAATTCATAATAATGTTCATGTCTTCCTTTTTCCTTTTCCCCCCTTCTTGTTTATCACGAATATTTTCCCGAACAATCGCTTACCTTCTTCATCTCACACAAGCACTACCAATTAGAAAAAAAATACCAAACATTATTTGCTAACAAAATCCTCGTAATAAGTAAGGCTGCGTGTGCGCCTGCCTTTGTGTGCCTATGTCTGTGCGTGTGTGTGTGTGTGAGCGCGCGCTCGCGCGTGTAAGAGAGTATGTATGAGCTAGCACGTGTTCATGTACGCTTGTGCGTATATGTTTGTAAGTATTTTTGTGCGTGTCTGCATGCGGTTGTAGGTAAAAGAGAAACTGACACACCCATATAGTTTGATGCATACATACGTCATAAACATACGATACACACATGGCAATTTCAACAATTTTAAAATCAAACGCGTACATATGAACACTCACACACACACACACACACACACAGACACACAGGCACACACACACACATATGTATACAGAAATCCAATTACCTGCTTACGAGAGAATTATTTACGACACAATCTATTTCAACAATATATCAATATATATATATATATAGATAGATAGATAGATATGTATGTATGTATGTATATGTATATATATATCCAGACATTTTACATACATACGTACATAGATTTAATTTAATATATAATCCATTTATATAAACAGTATACACACACACACATATATATACATACATACAGTATACACACACACACATTAGGTGCGATGGGTAAATTGTCGCGATTTTCTATTTTACTTTCGAAAAAAAACAGAATGACGCAATTCACTCGGCCAGAAATTTAGAAACATCATGCTGTACTGCTTGGCATTCGCACCGGAAGTTCCAATATGAACATTTCAGGGTGTTTGTGCGTGAATATGAGGACCGTGCAAAAGATTCGGAAAGAGTTGGATGAGTCTAATGATGATTACGAAGGTGTTTGGAGTGATCACTAGTAATGGCGACGTTTTGCCTCCATCCATGTTCCCAGAGGGCCTCAAACTCAACACTGAGGCCTACATCAATTACCTTGAGGAGGTAGTGCTGGCCTCGGTCAAGATGGTAGCTACTGGAAGAGCCTATGTCTGGCAACAGGACTCTGCATCATGATACACAAGCAGGAGAAAACAGTCATGGCTGTCAGACAATTTCTGTGACCACATCACCTCTTACATCTGACCACCTAAATCTCCAGACTTCAAACCCTCTTGATTATTATGTATTGGGTGCAGTTGAGCAAGAGACCAACAAAACTACTGAACTTCAAGATGAATTGATGATAGGAATTATGACAGCATTCACCAACTTAAACAAAGAAACCGCCCAGAAGAGTTGTAGGAGATTCCGAAGACGTCTGGAGGTTGAGGTTAAAGCCAATGACGATTTCATTGAATAAATTTACACTTTAGTATTTCAAGATATTTTTGTGTAATTTTGGTAAATATATTTAAAAAGAGATGTCAGTGTTATTTTCATTTTTGAGTAATTTACACGATAATTTATCCATCGCACACTGGTAAGCAATATATATATATATATATATATATATATATATATATATATGTGTGTGTGTGTGTGTGTGTGTGGCTATATATAACCTACATATACATAGCTGTACATATATAATTTTTACAGTTTAATGTGAAGTATGAATTGTGTTGTAGATACATATATGATATATAAATTTATATATCAGACTAATAGTGGGTAATTACCTGGTAATAATGGAATATATATATATATATATATATATATATATATATATATATATATATATATATATATATATATGCAAACTCATATCAAATTATAAATTGATTCCTCATAGGCAAACATGAGAGAAATTATACAAAATTGAATAAAATTAAAAGTGAAATATATCTCGTGAAATCTTTTAATTTTATATACGCGCACCTGGATTTTTTTTATTGCATATATATATATATATATATATATATATGTCAGCGATCTTTACCCATTTCGATGTAGTGAAGAGAAAAAAGTTTTGTCTGGCTATCAATGCCATACACTCGTATATTCTCATAACAATAGCTTTCTATCTCTCATTTTATGCGTTATCTCCTGTAGGCCCGTGTATAACTCAGACACATTCTGACTTATAGACACACAGGTGAACTCAACTCTGTATTTTGACCTAACCTAAACATTAATCTGTAACGGTCACACACAGAGAAACGCATGTACATATCTGTGTTTATTGACAGACAAGTACTAACGCATTTACGCACAACATATACATACACATGCAAAGAGGCAGACAATTACTTTAATTATTATATATACACACACAAGAATTCAATCATTTCATAGATTTTTTTCTTTTTGGTCACAATAGGCGCTTAGGTTGAGTGTACCTACTTTACAAAGGTATATACGTAATAATACATACATATACCTAATTACATATATACATAATGTATTCCCGCCCACGCTGTTCATTCTTTCTTTCCTTTGTTTTTCTTTATTTTATTTCCACTTGTTTTTTCCCTCCAATTTTCCTTTTTCAAACTGGCTTTTCTAGTTTCAATTCAATATTTTTATGCGCTATTTTTCGTTTTTCTTCTATTCATTTACCTTTCTTTTATTTTCCCTTCCGTCTTTTTTTTCTCCTTTATTTTCATATCTTGCCAACAAGCGAGCGATCCCTGTCCTCTCGAGTCTACATCTATCTATCTATCTATCTATCTATCTATCTATCTATCTATCTATCCCATTCTGTCCATACCAGTCTATTCTTCTTATCTAATCGCAGTCTATTCATCTCTCTCTCTATCTGTCTGTGTCAGTGACTTTCTTTTCTTTCTTTCTTTCTTTCTTTCTTTCTTTCTTTCTTTCTTTCTTTCTTTCTTTCTTTCTTTCTTTCCCACCCCCTATCTCTATTTCAGTATCTCACGCAATCAAACTTTTTTTTTTCTTTCGTTTTTCTAACTTTCCTTTTTACTTGTTTTTTCGTTGGGCAGCCTGCACCCCCCCTCCTTTTCACTTCACATCCTTCTTTCTTTCTTTCTTTCTTTCTTTCTTTCTTTCTTTCTTTCTTTCTTTTCTTTTCTTTTTAGTCTCGCTACCCAATGTTGTTTTCTTCCTCTTTGTTGTCGTTGTTTTGCTGTTACCCCCTCCCATCCACCCTCTCTATCCTACTCTCTCTCTCTTTTTTGTCTTTTTCTTTTTTATCTTTCACATTCATTCTCTGTCTACCCCCGTTTCCTCTCTCTCTATATATATATGTATTACATACAGTCCCTATGTTGCCCCCTCCCCTGAGCCGGTTTATTTATTAGACACACTGAGATATAGGCTACTCTTTTTACCTATTGTACAGTGTTCGAAACATACATACACGCACACACACAATTTAACAAATATAGCGTCTACAGACATACATATACTTCACAATGAATTCATACACTCACAACACTTATTTATTACCTAGAACATAACTGGCGAGGTAGATTTTTTCCCGCAGTAGGTTGCCATTTCTTTCTGCGGTAGACCAGTTGCTATCCAAAGCTTGAGAACCCGGTCTGTCCTGCTATATTTACCCATAGCTGGGGGAAGAAGAAGAGAATTCATACCTTTTCCCAAGGTATTAGAATGTAATGTAATTCGAACTCGGCTCTCCGATTTCTCAAGCCGAGCCGCTATCCATTACTCAATGTGTATCCATGACGATACACATATTCACACGTTTAAGACACACACATTTGAAGAAAGACAGAAAGAAAAACACAAATACATACAATATTTTAAAAAAAATAAAAATTTTACTAACATACAAAAAATTACAATAAACATACACGATAAAATTAAAAGTAAGTAAAATAGCAGTTTTATTTTTATATTTTTTTAAATGGTATGAATTCAAATTTAATTTTGCCCATAAAAATAACTTTTACACCTTTTTTTACAGAGAGCTACACTATTCAACCTTGGTCGATAGAAGATTCACTCTCTGTCTCTTGCGTGTGTCTTAATAATGGTGTGTGTAATGGGCATAAAAACACAAACGATGACGGTAGTGAGTTCAATCCTTACAGGGTGGGGTCTTCCAGTATTGCTGTGAAAGTCAGGTTGAGGTCAGTTAAAGCAGGTAAATATCTACATACAGATGGTTGGTTCAGTCCAAATAAACGCATAATTCATTTTTGTTGACTGATTAGAGAAAGAAAGGCAGGGAGACGTTCCAGTTTTAATACACATATTTTCAACACACAGTCACGCCATTCTTTCTTCCTCGTTTCCAATAGACAGAATTTGCCAACGAAAAAAAATCTCATTAAACGCTTAAAGAGAGAGAGGGAAAACGAATTTCAGTCCACTCACACTCTCAACTCAACACACTAATGAAAAGAAAGAAAGAAGTCTTAAGGTCTTTACATTTGAGAATTAAATTTCAAATTTGTAAACGAAAAAGCTTCATAACATGAACGCGTTCACATACGCACGCAAATTCAATCAGGTTTCATCATACACGCATTAATTTTAAAAGATACTCGCTCATTCACTTTTACATACATCGATCTCCACCAACGAAAAACGTCGATAAATAGATTTTCCTTTCTATGTGATTATTCATGGCGTCACATTCACAAGAGAACACACACACACACACACAGAAAGATAGATGATTGATTGCATTTCTGATACATTTGCTTACAAGCAAAAGAGAAATACACGATGTAAGAATTTATTATGCAAGTTAATATTTTCAGAATAAATTTGATATTAACCAACTGATGCAGGTAAAATTTGGGATTAACCAACTGATGCAGGTAAAATTTGGGATTAACCAACTGATGCAAGTAAAATTTGATATTAACCAACTGCTGCTGGAAAAATTTAGTATTAACCAACTGATGCAGGTAAAATTTGGTATTAACCAACTGATGCAGGTAAAATTTTTGGATTAGCCAACTGATTCTGGTAAAATTTAGGATTAACCAACTGATGCTGGCAAAATTTGGTGTTAACCAACAAATGCTGACAAAATTTGGTATTAACCAACTGATACAGGTAAAATTTGGTATTAACAAAATGCTGCAAGTAAAATTATGGTGTTAACCAACTGTTGAATGTAAAATTTGAGATTAACCAACTGATGTTGGCAAAATTTTGCATTAATCAACTGATGCAAGTAAAATTTGATATTAACCAACTGCTACTGGTAAAATTTTCAGAATATATTTATAAGCATATGAACAAAGCGTTACATAATCTTCCGTTTATAATATCATAATCATAATATCGACCTTCATTTTAAAAAAAGGTAATTTGTTTTCGCAGATATCGACCGTACATCAAATTTGATTAACACAAAATCCGATATACGAGAATAGATACGTCTTCTATGCACCTTATCCATTCAGGATGTTGACGTTAATGGCTCTCCACAACTTCAGTGTCCTTTGTAGCACTTGATAAAGTTTATCGTTACGCTATCTTTTTAGTCTCTCTTTAAGGAACACTTACACAAATTGTTCTTCCTCTTATACAGGGTGCGATTGGGGCACCTCGTGGTGGTGGGGTAATGGTTAACAAGCTTGTCTCGCTAAAACAATTACGACTGAGTAGTTAGTTCGATCCTCACTGGGTGCCCCATACTTTCGGCCTTGTACCACATCCGAGCTACGGTTGGAAAATCGCTATACAGGGTATGATTGATAAAATGTCGCCTAAATTACGCAAAAATCAAAATAACACCGACATCTCATTTTAACAAATAAATTACACAAAAATATCTTGAAATATTAAAGAATAAATTTATTCAATAAAATCGCCATTGGCTTTAACTCCGGTTTCCTGTTTCTTTGTTTAAGTTGGTGAATGCTTTCATAATCTTTGTCTTCAGTTCATCTTTGGTGTTACAAGGAGTTTTGTTGGTCTCTCTCTCAACTGCGACCTCTACATAATAATCAAGGTGCTTGCAGTCTGGGGAGTTAGGTGGTCAGATGTAAGGGGTGATGTGGTTGCAGAAATTGCCTGACAGCCATGATTGGTTTCTCCTTCTTGTTTGACATTGTGCAGAATCCTGTTTCCAGACACAGGCTCTTCCATCAAGCACCCTCCTGATCCAGGACAGCACTACCTCCTCAAGACTCTTGATGCAGGCCTTCGTGTTGAGCCTAAAACCCTGTGAGAAGATGAATGGAGACATAACGTCGCCTATATATATAGTCTCACTATGATACATTATACATATATATAAATTTGATATCTATTATATATTTATCTTTGTGTATATGTTACACACACGCACACACAAAAACACGCACACACATGCACACACACATGCACACACACATGCACACACACATATATACAATATTTTATTTTAGGGGTATACATTTAAAGAATGCATATTGCTTACCAGTGTGCGATGGATAAATTATCGTGTAAATTACTCAAAAATGAAAATAACACTGACATCTCTTTTTAAATATATTTACCAAAATTACACAAAAATATCTTGAAATACTAAAGTGTAAATTTATTCAATGAAATCGTCATTGGCTTTAACCCCGGCCTCCAGACGTCTTCGGAATCTCCTACAACTCTTCTGGGCGGTTTCTTTGTTTAAGTTGGTGAATGCTGTCATAATTCCTATCATCAATTCATCTTGAAGTTCAGTAGTTTTGTTGGTCTCTTGCTCAACTGCACCCAATACATAATAATCAAGAGGGTTTGAAGTCTGGAGATTTAGGTGGTCAGATGTAAGAGGTGATGTGGTCACAGAAATTGTCTGACAGCCATGACTGTTTTCTCCTGCTTGTGTATCATGATGCAGAGTCCTGTTGCCAGACATAGGCTCTTCCAGTAGCTACCATCTTGACCGAGGCCAGCACTACCTCCTCAAGGTAATTGATGTAGGCCTCAGTGTTGAGTTTGAGGCCCTCTGGGAACATGGATGGAGGCAAAACGTCGCCATTACTAGTGATCACTCCAAACACCTTCGTAATCATCATTAGACTCATCCAACTCTTTCCGAATCTTCTGCACTGTCCCCAGATTGACATCCAATCACTCTGAAATGTTCGTATTAGAGCTTCCGGCATGAATGCCAAGCAGTACAGCATGTCGTTTCTAAATTTCTGGCGAAGCTAATTGCGTCATTGTGTTCCTTTTCTCACAGACGGTGCCCAACTGACCCTACTATACTGTGCAGTTGACAAAATAAGAAACACACAACGCGCATGTGCGAAATTAAACATATAAATGGCGACAATTTACCTATCGCACACTATATGTGTCCTATCCCTTCAGGACGTGGACGATCACGTCACTCCACAATTTCCTGTCCTTTGTACCTCTAAGTAAAGTTTATTGCTTTGCTATCTCTTTTATCCACTGTTCTGCTAACCATTTACACAAGATCATTGAGCGATCATGGTCCTCCATAATTTCCTATCCCCTGTCTTAGTAAAATTTACCGTTTTGTTATCTCCCCTAAAACCTGTTCTACTCTCCATTTATACTACCTAGTTAGGTAATTAATACCTTGTTTTCCTCTGTCCATCTTAACTTCGTAATGCTCTGTGAGTGTCAATTTTTCCAAACCTTCTTTCCTCATTATGCGCCATAAACATCTCAAATGTTTCTTTCTGATGTTAAGTGTAAATGTCCTTTTTCCCATTTTCTCTAAAAATTCATGTTTGATGACATCTTCAGTCGATGCTATTCTCAGCATCCTTCTGTAGAGCCACATTTCTTTTTGCCTGAAATCTCCCCTTCATCTCTGATTAGATTGTCTAGCACTCACTGCCATAGAGGAGGGCCGCTATTACATAACAGTTTAGTTCTATGTTCTTTGTTTTCGTTTCATGTTTCTTAATCGTTTACTTAACTTTTGGAAAGCATCTTTCGCTCTTCCAATGCAACTTCGGCTTTCGGTGTCACTTTTTTTCATCCTCTGTTAAAACACTTCCTAGATATTTACATTTTTGTAATTGCTTGATTTTGGTGTTCCTGATTTGTAATTTACATGTTGGACTGCCCTTTTTGCTAACAACCATACACTCAGTTCTATAGGTTGTTTCATTATTTTATATATTTTAAAATGAAC